TATTAATAAGTGTTACAACTTAAACGGATTTTTAATATTAGTCAAATTTAATATTTTTTTCCTTTATATTGTTATTTTATATGTTTATATATGTGTATACATATATATATATATATATAACTTTTATATTTGTTAAAGGATACATAAAATTAAATATGGAACCTTTTGGGTCATATGTCTTATTATATATCAATTAATTGTACATCGTACTATTTTATTATACATAATTAAAATTTTCTCATTCATTACATGAAAATAAATAGGCTGGGTTTTAGTATTATACATTTTCATAAAATTATTCTAACCTTATTTTAAGCAAAGAAGATTAGAAGTTTCGATTGTAAAACAATCATTCAACAATTAATCTCTCATGCTATTACAAAAATTATTACTTTTTATAGGTTATTTTGAAAGAAAAAAATTGTTTCTTTACTTTATGGGTGTTATGAGGACAACATTATGGATTTCAATTTTATTATTTATAGTTATTAATAATAGAGGAGTAATGGTGATATATGATATAATTATTAGTAAAAATAAATAATTTTCTGGGTATAGGCATATCACGATTCTTTAGATACCTTAATTAATTCGTAGAAAATTGTATGATCAAAATAAAATCATGTTGCTCAACTAATATCCCATTCGACATGAAAAAAATTGGACCAGGTTTTAGTATTATATAATTTTATAAAATTATTCTAATCTTATTTTACGTAAAGAAATTAAGTAGATTAGAAGTTTAGGTTGCAAAATAATTATTCAAAAAATTATATCTCATATTATTACATAATGTATTCTTTTTTTTATATTTTATTTTGAAAAAAAAAATATTTATATAGTTTGTGGTCGTTATGAGGACAAACAACATCGATTTTAAATATTTTTGCTTATAGTTATTAATAAACTTGTAAAATTAAATAAATATCGTTAAAACAGTTATCTTATTTGATAGGATACTTACGGTTAAATAAACTCTTAAATTTTATTGAGAAAATCATAAAAGTATTTAAGAATCTTAAATAATATCAATAAATAAAATATTTTATTTATAAAATTTTGAATTATAATCGTTTATAGAGCGGTCAACTTGAAAATTAATTGTTCAAATAAAATAATAATAATAATAGTTAAAATGTCATGAACATTTTTATTAATAATTGAATGAAAAATTTCAAATAATTTAAGTCTTAATAATTAAAAAATTACGCAACTTGATATGAATCACCTAATGGCACGTGAAGATTCGTTAACTCTATTAGCTTTGCGACCAAAATTTGAAAATACAAACCACTAAACAATGACGATTTTTGTGGGATCAAAATTCAATCCAATAAAACTAATGTGCAATTTAATTCTAGTTCTAAATACAAGAGTTTATTTTTCTTAAATAATGATCTAGTTAAATGAATTCTTCCATTTGCTAGTTTGTTAGATTATGTATATATTCCACGTGTGCATGATTTCGGTAATATTTTAGGTATCTTCTCTTAATTAAAGTTATGTATGTATCTTGGAAATTATTTATTATATAAAATTCACCTCTCAACTAAGTTATCATGTTTTACCAAGATTTATCGTTTTGTTAAAAGATAGGTAAACAAATAGTTGAGAATATTTAGATCTTTTATAAGTATTTATTATGTTGTTTTTGTTGCATAATTTTTTGTTTAAACAAATTTTATATATTAAAATCATTAAATATGATTACGATTTTATCATCAAAATTATATTAAAAATAAGGACGTTATTCAAAACAAAAATTCAATATCATTTCAAAACTTTGTTGTTTGGGTTAATGTTGAGTTGATTGTTTAGAGATATTGAAGAAAACGGTTTGGGAGATATGTGGAAGAAATCAAATTCTTGAAGAATAATGGTGTGAATATTGTGGTTGATTTTTAAGAAATGTGGAATGTTTTGTTCATTTAATTGTATTAAATGAGAATTAGTGTATTACTAATTTGATATTAAAAATATGTCAAATAAAGGGGATTTTAGGTAAAAATTAGTTATTAATTAAAAAAAAATACAAGATGGGATATATATTATGTTATTACTAATTTGCCATTAAAAATATACCAAAGTAAGGGTATAATAGTTAGTTCTTTCTTTTACAAAAACACTCGTCCTTTTCTAGTAGTATTTTGAGTTACCATTTTAGTTAGCACAACATTTAGACATATAATATAATAAAACATTTGGACAAAATATTACATAAGATTATTTTGTAGATATTGTTTACAAGAACCAATTTGTTTTGGTGGACTTCTGTGGAAGAGTTATTTTTTTTCCAACAGCTACTTAGCTAAGAGAATCATAACAATTTCTTCAAAGACCACCTCAATCTCCATCATTTTTAGTAAAATTTAGAATTATTTGAGTCATACTTTGGGCGTGTATCGTAATAGTTTTCAATGTTACGCTGTTATTTATTTAATTAAATATTAGTGATTAACTAAAAAACATAAGATTTGAAAAGTATTAGTGTATTACTAATTTGTCACTAAAATTAAATCAAAGTAAGGGTTTTTTAGGTAGTTCATTTGTTAATTAAAAATATAAAATAAGATGGGTATTACTGTATTACTAATTTGTCATTAAAAATATGTCAAAGTAAGGGTTTTTTAGGCAGATAATTATTTTTACAAAATCACTCGTCCTTTTATAATAGTATAGATAGATATAGATAGATAGATAGATAGATAGATATAGATAGATGATATATTATTGAAGCTCGGTTAGGCTTTTCGTTTGGGTAATTTAATTGGACGTGGTACCTTCTTGAATATTATTATATCTTAGTTTTGGAATTTAAAAAATGTCTTGTCAGATATATTTCATTTTTTGCTTGCATTAGAAGTTGAAAATTTTCCAAATCAAGTTTGATATTTCAAATTCACCATTAAATGTTGACTAATACTTTAATATAGTTTAACGTAGAATCGGAATGTTGTTTATCCCATATAGAAAATGAAATTCTTTGTATCATCCGGACAATCACGCAAACACTCATTTCAAAGATAATATTCAATAGTAATCTCGACTTTATTTTTCTAAGTTCATACGTTCATTTCTTTTGAAAGCCATAAATAGTGTTCAATAACAATTTCGATTTTATTTTTCTAAGTTAGCACGTCCATTTTTTCTCCTGAAAGCCAAAAAAAAAAAGAAAAAAAAAATCAAACAAGGAGTTGTTTGTGCCTTTAAAAAGCTGCGATTGATGTGGCACCAGACTAAAGAAGAATGATGTTATCAAAATTGTTAGTTGGAATATGGAGAAATTGAGATAACTTGTACAAAATGATTTCCCTCAATTTTCTTTTTTTCTTTTTTTTTTTTCCCCAAATTTAGACAATGTTGGGTGTACAGATCAATTCTAAATATGGCCATACTTCTTTGGGTGAGGGTGACATTTGGAATAAATTAGGTCACGAAAGCAGAACCGACCCATCTGCTAATGTTCTTCTAACATGGAAAATTCTATTTCAACCCATTGTTTTTATTCTAATACCTTATATGGTGTGACCATACAAATTTGTTAACCTTAGTTCTTTTCTCTTAAATGGAAAATCGTAATTGGCCCATGGGTTTTGATTCGAAATGAATATATCACATCACAACCATACAAAATGTTAGCTTGTTACAAATCAAAAATTTACACATCGACTATTTTCAGACCAACATAATAGACGCATTTTCAGATCAATGACTATTTTTCAACGATTTATAATAGTTGGAATTTGATGGTTTGAATGATTATTATTCAACGGTTTATAATTGTTGTATGAATTTGTAGTTGGAATATATTTCTATCATATTCTTGTATATTGGTTGGCCTGTTTATAAGAAGTCTTAATGAATTAGACCGATTAGTGAGGACTAGTGTATATCCCGTGCGATGCACGGAAACAATATTAAATTAACAATATTATAAATAGACCTCGAGTTTGAGTCACTCAATGACCCAAGTGGAAACTACTATTGATCCTATTTAAAAAAAAGGAAATAAAAAAATAATTATAAATTAAAGAGGAAGATAAACAATACTTAATAATTATAAATTAAAGATTCGGGATCAAACAATGTAAAATTATTTTGTATAAGATAATATAAAAAAATTTGATTACACACCATTTCAAAATTATTATTATACTTTTTTGTATGGTTAGCTTATAATATTTGTAAAAATATTAGTAATTAGATCGATAAAATTAGCTTCTTAAAGTAGATAATGGATTTTCAGTAGTAATTATGAATTGATTTCTATTTTATTTTATTTTTTCTTTTTAAAGATAATGGATTTCTAGTAGTAATTATGAATTGGTTTCTATTTTATTTTATTTTTTTAAATCTGTATAGTTAAGGGATGAAATTTTTTAAACACGAGAGACGTATGCAATGGGATTTTGTAACAGAAGAGATAAGCGTGTAGATTTATACTAAAAATAGGAAAAAGAAAAACAAATATTTATTGTCAAACAACGGTTTTTTGATAAACTAAAAAAAATGAGCCGATTTTTTTGCCTATTTAGATTTGTCCAACAATTACTATATTAGGATATATTTAATGATTTTGGCGGGAAAAAGTTTCTAAATTTATAAAAAGGTTATTCTTTTTATATAATGATAGATTTATTAACGGGCACATTGAAATCAATCTGATATGTAGTTAACGTGTTTTTATCCCATTAATTTGTGAAACAATCTACTTGTGTCTTTGTTTTGGTTGGTTTTATATATTGTGCCATGAAATTTAATAAATTGCCACAAAGTAGCTCTATCTGCGGTTTTCAGCTCAGAGAAAACGAAAACTAAATCTATATATTTGAAGAAAAATCAATTAAGCNTTGTTTTTGGGAATTGGAAAAAATAAAAGACAAGCTGCAATTTAATATAACTTTATAATACTAATAATGTTACCACTAAAAAGTAAAGAGTCCTACTGATGATTGATTTAACCTAATTATATCATAATAATAATAATAATAATAATACAACCAAACTAAGAGACAACAATATATATTGAAAATCAAACAAAGAAAGCAAAACCATCTAATTATATAGCAAATCCATGTAAAAAGAGAAATATTAAAGCACCACAAACAATTGCAATCGAGCTTGAAGACCATAACTCGGAGCTAACAGAATTCGGAACCAAATCGACCGATCGTCCATCGGGTGTACCTAGAAGCACATTGATCGATTAATCGATTTACTAAATTAATTAATTTAACATCAATTACATTTTATTTTAAAAAAAAATTAATATATACGCACCAACAACACACTTTAGTGGATTGGTATAGTGGCCACATCTATCGGGCAATGCTTGAGCTAATCTCGAGACATTACTGATGCTCGATTGCTCGGCTAACTGTCCACGCACAGTACTCAACAAGCTGCACAAACACTCGGGTATTGACTTGATAACATAATCGAGAGGCTGACAACAACTGTCGGGAGGTTGGCTTGTGTCGTTGTTGAGGTAGTTTATGCAAAATCGAAGCTCGTTCCTGCATTGTTGGAATTGCGCGTCGTTTTTTATAGCTAAGCATGAAAGTAAGATGAGTATGACTAGTAATCCTCTTAGCAAAAACCTAAGTTTTTTCATCTTATTTGCTTCTTTTGATCTTCTACTTTGTAGCTATGTTTTGTTGGTCATTTACAAATGATGAGGCAGTTTTGAGTTGCTTGGTGGGAGTTGGTTATCAAACTAGAGACATTTTAGATGATTTGTAGGTGATTTTAGACAACTAGTTTGGATTCACATTTGACCTTTGATATGGTTGACCTAATTTTATTACTAGGTCCAAATATGTTAAGTGGGCCTTAGATGCAGGCACTTCTATCCAGCCCAACAGGAAAAGCCCGATCCATATGTCCTAATCCAAAAATGTGTACCAATAAAGCCCATTTTTTTAGGAAAGCGACATGTGTGTGACTTTCACGCTATAGCTCAAATGATATGAATTATAATCACCTAAGTTTTTTTTT